CGGACGGATGTAAGTTACATGTTCTAATAAAAAAAAAAAAAAAAAAAAAAAAAAAAAAGCCACATCAGCGAGCTCTCATCATCCAGCGTACACCCCTAATGTCACCACATAGCTTCCTGGCGCGCCCACACAACCCTGGGCCGCATACGTCCAATCGCCCAAGGCTTATCACTGCCCCACACCTCATGCGAAGCACCGAACAGCTAATTCGAAGAACCAATGAGTGCAGTTCGAACCAGCTCCGATACCAAATTGCAAGGAAAATGAACAGAAACGAGATGACAATATTCAGATTGCACAATCACATTGAAAGCCAAATCGTATCACAGTGTTCAGAAAGCAGCATTGCACCAATATAACACCAATGGAGAATCGTAGTACTGAAAGTCAGTGTTAATAAGAGCTTGCTCTCGCCACCACCAACATATGTATCCAGTCTCTATCTCCCTACTTGGCGCTCGGCGCCCAGCCCTCCCTACACAGCTACTATTAGCCTACGAATTGACAATGCAACTGTTGACGTCAGCAGCCTCCGAAGTACTTGAAGATGTCGCCCATGCAGACCATCGCCAATACCAGGTATGAGCCCTCACATCATCATCATCATCATCCTTCTCTCTCTCTCTCTCCCTTGTCTCTTCCCCACGTCTTCCCTTTGTACACCCGAAGACCACCCCTGCGCCTCACTGTACATCCAAGCCCGGCAGCTATGGAGGCTGGGCTATGGCGCTGCCCTCAGCAGCGCCCTGCTCTCTGCACGACCGCACGTGCTGGCACCTCGCCGCTCAGCACTAGCAGCAGCCCACGAGCTTCAGCTCCTGCAGCGCTGTCGCCAGCATGCGAGTGCCCGAATGAGCTGCCAGCCAGTGAGCTCTTTCCTATATGGAAAAGAGCTGGCCTGGCTTCGCAGCCTGGCTGCCCTGAGCCTGGGCCCAGAGGCTTCCGGTAGGCACCAAGGTGCTGCGCCTCTGGTGCAGCTACTGGGCCTCATTAGGTTGGGCCTCCCAACTGTCTGTGTATGAGGCTGCAAATCTCGCCCAGGGCCTGTGCTTTCGGAAAGGCCTAGACGGCCTGGGATTTTCCACGCTGCTCCGCCTGTGTTTTCCTTCAACCAACTGGTGCGATGAAACTGCCTGGACCCCAAATACGAAATTGACAGCCAAGGGCCTCTCGTGATTTGTTAGGCCCGCCTTCACTTAGTGCGGGCACATTTGTAGCAGGGGTCCCTTAGGCCTGCCGAGGACCCAGATCCTCGCAGAAGTTACAGGGGAGGAGAAATTCCTTTTTTTTTTTTTTTTTTTTTGTTGAGACAAGGCTCCAATCTATTCGTGGGGAGCAGCACGTGCTGGGAACTGGGCCCAGCGTCCCCTAAGGAAATTTACATCAAATTTTGAAAGTTTGAGAAACCGGGGCTGTTACGGACTCTGCCAGGGCTCGATCCCTGGTCTATCTTTTTGCTGTTTCGGCTGCATCCCGTTTTTGGCCTGGCACCCTTTTTCCAAACCCCTCCTTTGGTACCGTAGGATTTTGGACAACTGGCGCCATGCTGCAATTCGGGCGCCACTTTCAAATACCGCATTTTTCACTTCTGCCCTCGGGGCCTTTGCAGAAATGCCCCTGGAATCGTACGTGTCACCGGTACTTATACCGGCTCCCCGTACGGTACGGGGACCAGTCTCGTACCAGTTTTCTGCCGCTGTACTCGTACTAAGTGGGACTTGCTGTTTCGGCATTTGGAATCCAAGACTTCGACTTTGTGCCTTGCCACTGTGTCTGCGTCCGGCCGAGTTCAGTCGCGTAAGTGAGTGAGTGTGTGTGTGTGCTCTCACTCTCTCACTCTCTCCCTCTGCTCCCTCCTCGTCCTCTGCCTCTGCGCCCATTACACTGGTATCGGAGCAGTTCTCTCCCCCATCGCCGCCGTGACATTCGACGTGCTGCAATCTTCGTTGTTGCCGAGACCTCGTCGCCGCCATGATCCTGCCGCTCCCGTGACCCTCGTCGTTGCCACGATCTTCGTTGCTGCCTAGATCCCCGTCGTCGTCACTGCCAGGCACCTCAAGCATCAACATGGGCTCGCTCCGCATGGATTCCGCCGAGGATATCCACCGCGAGCTTGTCGACCAGCCAGGCACCGAGAAGAACACATCTCTCCTCTCCATGTTTCCAGCACTCTCTGCCTCGCTCCGCAAAATCGAGGCCTCCACGACCTCCATATCCGATCGCGTTACCTCCCTCGAAAACCACACACCCGCCATCACCATCGTCACGACGTCATCACCCCCCTCCTCCTCCGGCCAATCCATCCAATCCACCCCCGCCGGCCAAACCGGCCAACCATCTTCTTCCGGCCAAAATAGCCAACCCCCCTCCTCCGGCCAATCTGGCCAAAGCCTCTCTGCCGACCAAGCCGGCCAGGCCTCATCCTCCAACACCACCCCCCCACCGTCCTCCACCACACCTTCTTCCACCCCCGTCACTTCCCTTCCCGTTTCCCTCCCCTCCTCACAACCTACTACAAGCGCTTCCACCACTACACGAACCACTCCCCTTCGCCTCTCCTCCCCCCTCACCGAACCTATCCTCACTACTTCCACCGTCCCCTCTGTCCACCCCTCTTACTCCCAAGTCCTTTCGGGCGTTTACCCTCCCATACCCCAACCTCCTCCTTGCTACCTCCTTGGTGACCGCAGTCAGGATCACACCTGCTACGACACCTCTCCCGACGACCGCAACTTCAACACCCTCGCTTGCATCGTACCCCGCAACGGGGACATTCCCCGCTCCTTCCGCGCCACTGATATCGCGACGTTCTCCGGCCTCCCCCACGAGGACGTCCTCCTTTTCCTCTCTCAAATTCAAAATGCCTTCGATCTCCACAACATGCCCCTCGCTCATTAGCTCCCCACCGCAACCTCCCGCCTCCAAGGCGCCGCCGCTCGATGGTGGTTAACCGAAGCCAACAACCGCCGAGCCAACGGCCTTCCCCTCATCACGTTCCTTCAATGGGCCGACCTTCTCATCGCCACCTTCCGTCCGCAAAAGACCATCGATGACTACATCGATCAATTTTGCAACCTCCGCCAAACCGGCCCCACCGAGCGATTCATCCAATATGTTCGCTCCCTCCGCCTCCACATCCCATCGACTCTCATTCCCGACTACGTCTTCATCTCCCGCATCAAGCGGGTATGCTTCCCCCACCTCGCCGCAGCCCTCGCCCATGAGCTCGAGCTCCCTCTCACCGATCTCCTTACCCGCCTTCTCCACCATGATCGCCTTTCTCACCTCCGCTCTCAACGACCAGCCGCCCCCAACCGCACCCGGTTTTTCCACAACATGGCCTCCGACGACTCATCACTCCTCTCCGACGACGGCCTTGACTCCTCTCCCGAGTCCCTTGACCCAGCCCAATTCACCGAGGAAGACTTCCAGGCTGTCCATCTCATGAGGATGGAACGGCAACGCCTGGCCTCCCAACCTTCCTCCTCCCCCCAACCCCCTCGTCTCAAAAAGCTCACCCCCGCCGAACGCGCCTTCCTCCAGATCAACGGCGGTTGTTTCCGTTGCCGCCAGTTGGGGCATCAGCAAACCAATTGCCCCAAGGCCGGCCGCTCCTCCCGCCGGGCTTCCCGCCCCACCGGATCCAGCCCTCCCACATCCACTTCCTCCTCCTCCACCGCGGCCTCTGGACCCTCCTCCACTTGAACACCGTCCCCCCTCCCCTTGTAGCCATATCCTGGCACCAACAATTCGTCTGCCAACCCCTCCCCCGACGATGACTTTCATACCGGACACCCCCCAGGCGTCGCAGTCTACTCCGCTTGCCCTCCTCCCGACTACGTCCTCTATTCCGTCGGCTGAGCACCCCACGGCCACATGTTCCACTACCCTCCTCCCCAACCCCTCCACCATCACTTTCTCCGATCTCGTTGAGGAACAAGACCGACACACTCGACTTGTTAGATTAGGCCTCGAGCAGCGCCGCCTCAATGCCATGATCTCCTCCATTTGTGTCGGGGCCGCCCTGTTCCAGCTCAAGTTCGTCACCGTCGATGCTTCGTCACCGTCTCCTTTGGAGCATCGACGGTGAAGTTCCGGGCCCTTCTCGACATTGGTGCCACCGGCAACTTCATCACGGATGCCTGTGGTCGCAAAGCCGGCCTCTCTTCCACCGGCTATGATTCCCCGATCACCATCCGCCTAGGGGATAAGGACTTAGCCATCGTCGTCGACCGCACAGTTCCCGAGACCACAATGACTGTTGGCCCTCTTCGCAGTCAGGTCTCCTTTGATGTCATGCACCTCATGTGCGACATCGTACTCAGGACTCCTTGGCTCGACCGCTACATGCCCTATACCTTCCACCCCTCTTTCGTCCGCCTCTCCACCCCCCCCGATCCATCCCTTGACATCCCCTACCTTCTCCCTCTCTCCACCCCTTCCCCCGTCTCTCCTCATCAATTTCTTCACATGACCCGTGAGCACCCCGACTCCGCCTACTATTGCCTTGTCATTGACCGCGACCATCCCGAGGACTTGCTTCCAACGGACAAACCCGACCAAGACCCCCCCTCCGACCCTCAGATCCCTGCCCTCCTATCCGAATTCAAAGACGTGTTTCCCGAATCCTTGCCCGCCGGACTACCTCCCGACCGAGGTGTTTCCCACACCATCGATCTCGAGCCCGGCCACTCCCCCCCTTGCCACCCCCCATACCAGCTCTCCGTCCCCAAGGCCGAAGAAATGAAGCGCCAGCTCAATGAACTCCTTTAAAAAGGATTCATTAAGCCTAGCTCCTCCCCCTTCGGAATCAGTTGTCTCTTCGTCAAGAAGAACGACACCTCGGAACTCCGCATGTGCACAGACTACCGCGCCTTGAACCGGATCACGATCAAGAACAAGTATCCGCTTCCCCGGATATCCGAACTTCTTGATCGCCTCTGTGGAGCCAAATACTTCACCAAGATCGACCTCCGCAGTGGCTTCCACCAGATCCGCATCCGCGAGGAGGACACCCACAAGACCGCCTTCCGCTCCCGCTTCGGCCACTACGATTTTCTCGTAATGCCTTTCGGTCTCACCAACGCCCCCGCCACATTCCAATCCACCATGAACCACATCTTCCGCGACCTCCTCGAAGTCTGTGTCCTGATCTACCTCGACGACATACTTGTTTTTAGCCCCACCTTCAAGTCCCACCTTGATCATCTCCGCCAAGTTCTCGCCATCCTCCGCGACCAGAAATCCTACGCCAAGCTCAACAAATGCACATTTGCTGCCTCTAGCGTAGAATACCTTGGTCACATTGTCTCCGCCGACGGCATATGCATGGACCCCAAAAAGGTCTCTGCCCTCGTCGAGTTCCCCCCTCCCACCACTTTAACCCAACTTCGCTCCTTCACGGGACTCGCCAACTTCTACCGCCCCTTCATCCGCAACTTTTCCGACGTTTCCTACCCTCTCCATGAGCTCACCCGTGCCACCGAACCCTTCGCTTGGACAAACCGCCGCCAAGCCGCCTTCAACAAACTCAAGGAGCTCATCACCACTGCCCCCGTCCTCAAAATCGCCGACCCCACTCGCCACTTCTTCGTCACCACGGATGCCTCCGACTTTGCCATCGGGGCCGTCTTATCCCAACACTTTCCCCCCGACCCCGCGGAAACCCCCTCCATCAAGGAGTTCCCCACTCACTCCCAATGCCCACCCGACGAGCACCCCATCGCATTCGCCAGCAAGAAACTCCTTCCCGCAGAAATGAACTACCCATCCAATGAGAAGGAGCTCCTCGTCGTGGTCTACACCCTCAAAGTCTAGTGCCCGTACCTCGACGGGCAATACTTCACCATCTGTACCGATAACACCGTCGTCTCCTCCATCTTGACCAAGAAAGACATCACCCCTCGCCAAGCCCGCTGGCTAGACTTCCTTGCCCAATTTACCTTTACCATTTGTCACACCCCTCGCAAGAGCAACCGCGTTGCCGATGCCCTCTCCCGCCGCCCCGATTACAAACCTCCCGAGAAAGTCTATGCCGCCATGAGCCACATCCAGCTCCTGCCATCGCTCCGCCATCGCTACACCCAAGGATACCTCTCTTGCCCCGACTTCTCCACCATCGACAACAAACTCCGCGACCTCGACCCTGTTCCCGACTACTCCCTATATGACAACCTCCTGTACATCAAGACCAAAGGCACTCGCCGACTCTGCATCCCTGACACCCGTGGCCTCCACACCCAGCTCTTGGCCGAGCACCACGACGCCAAGACCGCTGACCACCTTTGTTTCCAGAAAACCTTTGACACCATCTCCCGATATTTCCATTGGCCTTCTATCCTTGCCGACGCCAAAGCCTACATCCGCTCGTGCCCCACATGTCAGGCTGTCAACCCCTCGAACCGGGCCAAACCCGGTAAGCTCCAATCATTGCCCATCCCCACGCACCGATGGCAGTCCGTTTCCATGGACTTCGTGTGCGGTCTTCCCAAGACCGACCGCGGGCATGATTGCATCTACGTCATTGTTTGCCGCCTGACCAAACGTGCTCATTTCATTCCTTGTACCACCTCGCACAATGCCAAAGACATTGCCATTCTCTTCTTCGACCATGTCGCTCGACACCACGGCCTCCCAGAGAATATCATCACTGATCGCGACCCCCGCTTCCTCTCCCAATTCTGGAAACAACTCTTCCATGCCTACGGAACCACGCTCAGGTACAACACTGCATTCCACCCACAGACCGACGGACAAACCGAGAAGATGAACGATACTCTCCAAAGAATCCTGCGGAAGTATTGTCATCCCCACCAACATGATTGGGATCAGTTGCTCACCGCCGCCAAGATTGCCTACAACAATGTCGTTTGCCCTTCCACCGGCATGTCCCCCTTTTACCTTGACCTTGGCTATCACCCCCGCTTGCCCTCTGATTCTTGCTCCCCTCTCAACTCAACCCATCCTCCCCCTGCCCCTCTCTCAATGAATGGGTTGCAACAATGAACCGTCTCCTAAGAGAAGCAACCGAGTCAATCCAACACACCTAGGAACAACAAGCTAAACAAGCCAACAAGCATCGCCGTGATATCACCTTCCAAGTAGGGGACAAGGTCTGGCTCTCCGCCAAACTCTTTGAACCCGAACAGGGCTTGTCCAAGAAACTCTCAAACAAGTGGCTCAGTCCCTTCCCCATCATTGAACAAACCTCCCCCGTCAATTACAAACTCCAGCTTCCCCTTGACATGAGTCGTGTCCACCCTGTCTTCCATGTCGAATACCTCAAAGAATACCGTGAATCCCCGCCACAGTTCTTTGATCGCCCTCACCCTCGTCCCCCTCCTATCATGTTCCCCAGTGGGCCTGAATTCTCCGTGGAATCCATCATTGGCCGTAGAACAACCCAAGTCGCTGATCACCCGGAACAAATCAAAGAATACAAAGTCAAGTGGACAGGCTACCCGGATGAAGAATCAACATGGGAACCCCTTGAAAATCTCAAGAATGCCATGAGACTTGTCCGTGCCTATGATCGTTCCCACCCTGCATCCTAGCTATCCCCCTGCCTATACCTTGGCTAAAACCCTGAACCCTTGCTTAAACCCTGCTACAACCTCGCCACCTTGTCCTACACACACCCCTGCCACAGCCACCCTTGCCCTTGATCCCGATTCCTGATGCCTGATCTGCCCTTGTCCCTTGCCTAGCCCTGCCCCATTCGCCCTCCCCACTTCCTTGTCCATCTTGTCCAATGCTTGTGGACCTGCGTGATGCCGGCGATAAAAGATCTAATGGCATGCGCACGAGGACGATGGCTTGCTGCACCACTGTTCATGGAGATTATGCAGCTGGACTGGCCACCATGCTGCTACACCTGGCCAGCACCCTGCCTCGCAGACTCCCTGGAGCAGCTACTTGTGACATGAACCATGTACCAGTCTGCGACTTCCTTGCTACCGGATCAGACTCCACTGCAGATCATGTACCGGACGTGCCCACAGCCGTCGACCATGGACCTCTTGACTTTCCACGCATCAACACTCAGCATCTTGTTTCTCCTTGCTGAAGACCATTGAAGACCCCCCTTGCCGCTGACCAAGACCTTTGCAGTTCGCCTTGCTTCCATCATCGACCTGACCAAGACCCTTGCAGTTCGCCTTGCTTCCATCATCAACCTGACCAAGACCTCCTTCAAGACCCATATTGCTGCCGCTGACCTGGGACTGCTCAAGACATCCGAAGACCCCTTCTTGCTGCCGATCAAGACACTTGAAGACCTCCCCCAGACCCCGTGAACCATTGCAGACTTCCGACTCTGTACCCACATCCCATCAAACATCCCAGCCCTTGTACATGCAAACTGTGCCCTTGAACCTTGCAACAAACAATTTTTTATTTTTCTTCTTCTTCTTCTTATTATTATTACTTTTTTGCTCATCCCCTGACAACCTATAACCTTGTAGAATTTCCACTGAAATACCCGTTCACCCTTGTAGAACATCCATAGGAAACCCTCTTACCTGCTCTCCTGTGGCATACTGGGTAGCCACACGGGCCTACAGGGCCCGTCCCGGACATTCAGCCTAAAAGCCTAAAACTTAGGGCTTACAGGCCCCGTTCATTTCAGCCTGGATGCTGAAAAACGAGGGCCTGCAGGCCCTACCTCGTTTCAGCCTATTTCTGGGTCTTTTCAGACCCAGAGTTTTCAGCCTGAAACGGAGGGCCATTTTCAGGCCCTCATTGTTTCGACCTGCCCCTAAGACTCAGGCACGGAAACAGGGATGCGGAACAGGCCCAAAATAGCCTGTTCCTCACATGCTCGAGCAGGAGCTGCAGCTGCAGCCCCTGCCTTCCTTCCGCAGGCTCAAGAGGCACACCCGTAGTACATAGGAAGAACCCATGCACTTCACGGGGATATAGAGGGAGTGTCAGTCAGTAGGCGGGAGTCTTCAGGATTCCGCCGCAGCACTCAGGAGGAGCGCTGCAGTAGTCTCCAGCGCTAGGCAGTAGTGGTAGCGTTAGCTGTAGTCTTCAGCGCTGGGCGCCATAGCTGTAGCTGTAGTCTTCAGCGCTGGGCGCTGGTAGGTAGTAGGTCGTAGAGTGGAGAGAGGCTGGCGGAGGCCAGCGTTACTTACCTGTGGCGCCATCGCTCCAGCTCCAT